GTAGGGATTAAAGCTGGCTCTGGCAACCTTTAAGCTCGTCTAAATCTTTAAAGGAATGGTTCGCTGATATTTGCACAGTTTCCCTTTTTGTCAGAGATCAGTTAATCAGCTAAGACATGTTTGGTGTCCCTAGTTTGCTTGTTTAGTTTAGTACTGGAGCTGTGAGGTTAGTATTACAGAAATCTGTCACCCATAAAGATTGTTGGTGGCATTGATTTCCATTGCTTGTTACCTACATTAGCCTCGTAGCTGCAGTGCAGAACTAAAAGGCAAACTTGGGACACCAAATATTGTGTGTATTTATTTTTAAACTATTCCTTTTAAGCATTTCAGTGACTATTTCCATGCGTTTGAAATGCTACAACATTTCTGTTTCAACACAGGGGTGTAGCGATATTTATATTTTCAAGTTCAGTATGATTTTTTTAATTCTGAGGTCAAGGTTCAGTTCATTTTTTACTATTTAATGTGTTAAAAATATATTGATTTTATAGAGCTCCCCACACAAAGAGGTTCTTCAAAGGGTTCTTTAGTAAAAGCAATGGTGCTATTTATAACCATGAATTCTATATAAAACCATTTCATGCTAGAATTCAGATTGATGGTGAACGTGTTGTATATGGTTCTAAATAGAACCTTTTTGAAAATAGTTCTGTCTAGCACTAAAAATGCTCTGCTATCGTTATGATGTCATGATTGTAACAATATAATAATCCTTTATTGGTGCAATATAGGACCATTTTCGAAAAAGGTTCTATCTAGAACCATATAAAACACATTCTCCCTCAAGCTGAAGGACCATTGCACCATGCAGTTAAACCATTCAAGCATGAAATAGTTCTATATAGAAGGTTCTAAATAGAAACATTGCCTTTATTTAAGAGCCCTTCGATGACCATTTTTAAGTGTGTCATTATATCAAACTGGAGTACTGACATGTCAAAAAAGCACAACTGATGTGCAAAAGCTGCACTGCGTCTGACCCTAAGCCAGGGGTGTCCAAAGTCCGGCCACAGGGCCAAATGCGGCCCACAGACAGATTTTGATTGGCTCCCAGCTTCTGTTTTACAGTGTATTATAAGTGGTCCGCCAGCCAGCATGTAGCAATTCTCCCTGTCTCAAAAAAACTGCAGATTTTGGCAGGATGGATAACTTCTTATCAGAGCAAATTCAGCAGTTCAGTAAATATTAACCCTTTAACAAAAATGTGGCTACACTGCGTTTATTTGCTCTGTAAACGTTACCTAACAAAACCAAAAATGTATAGGTTTTTGTTTAGTTTGTCTCACAAATTACATTTTTCAACAAATAAAAACCATTTTAATAGAAATATGATTCATACATTAGATATGATGTATTGTTGCTCTTAAACAATATTATTATTTGTTGTAAACGCTTATCAATCCAAACTGTTCTGGCAGAACAGTCCAACAATAAAAAAGCCTCATGCATCTTTTATACAGTGATAAGAAACACCATACTCACAGAAAGCTCAGATTCTATGCGCTGATATTTTGGAAGCGTAATATTTTGAATTATTTGTGAATTTTATGCCAGCAATCAGGTATTTTAACACAGTACAATCTGGCCCTCTTTGAAAAAAATTTGGACATCCCTGCCCTAATATGGCCCAGGTGGCTACTTGCCTCTGATTTTTTCGCGTTGCTTTTCCCTGTTAACAAACCTGGTTGGTCAGGCATGGAATTAATTACGTCACATCAGATTTTGTCAGAATTCGTTAGCTGTAACCAACGTGACAGCTAAACTGATGGTTTCTCCTCCTGAGCTGGTCAACCTGATACTATAGATGCTGTTCAATTGGCTGAACTTAGTATCACTCTATGAAATGAGATCTTAAATCAAATAAGGTGTTAAATAAGCTGGTGTCGCATCAAGAGGCTGTTCACATCAGGGCAAACGAGCTCGGCAGGAGGACCACCACAGTCACCACATTATTTATATTATCTGTGTAAGGTTTAAATGAATACTTTCTTTTTCAGAGCAACACATCACTGGTTTTTGGTACTGAATCTTCTCAATACTTATCAATGTAAATGCAATGTATTTTGTGTTTCTATTTTAATTCTTAATTTTTTATGTAAAAATATGTTTAAAATATCACAAGTGGTCAGCGTAGGGTTCTCCTTTAGAAGCTGTAGCCACTAACAGCAGGCCATGTAGGAGGAGAACAGAGTGAAGGGACACAGCACCTCCACACTGTTATTGCCCATGGGTTCACCCCAACACCACGTGTAATATAAATGTGTAGGGGTAAACAGTGTGAAAACACTGAAAATGTGTAATTTTATATGTTCTTCACAGAAGATGAGCAAAGACCAAGAATCTGAGATTGCAATAATAGTAAATTGCATCATTTTTTCTTTTGGTAATCATTGAAAATGGGACCCACAGACCTGAACACCACACAAGGGTTAAAGTAGTATTGGTCTAGAAATGAATCCAGTAAGAGTTTAAAAGTGCTCCAGTGAGCTTTGGTACGGTTGAATGGTGAGTGTTTAATTATTCTCAGTATAAAGGCGTATTTAGTGTGGTGATCTAAACGATCTATTTCTGCCATCATGTAAATATGTGAACTTCTGTGTTCTGCTTCTGTCGCTGCCTCTGGTTGAGCATAGGAACCAAACCCATGTCCTTCTGTAAAAGGAACCCAAGCAGCTCTCTCTAATGGGAACCTTTTCTCTTGTCAAGGCTTGGTTGAATATATATGTATTCAACAACCACGGCTGGCCAACAACATGGCACCGTCTGTCAACACTGCAGAACATTTTTGATTTAGAACACGTTTTTTAATTTAGCCTCCTGTGAACCTAAATGTGAGGTACCCACTGTGCTCTAATGCTGAATAACAGACTTAAGTGTTCATTGTTTAGTGGTGTAAATCTGTGTTTCTCAGAAATTCTCAGTCTGTGTAGTGGAGCCCCTGTTCCCCTTAGCTATGAACCCGGAGCTGCTTATTTAATTCAAGGATGTGAGTTTATTTTCTTTGTTCATCCAGGGAAAGAGAAGACATACACAACGGTTTACACACATCTACATGTTGGCAGCAATAGTCACAATAAAACTGCATCACTAACTGGCCACCTATGCACTTCTGCACTCCAATTCCTGAAGGGCTGCATTTCTAAATCATGCAATCATTAGCATAAACGTGACTTGAAAATACTCCTAGAAGTGCCCTTAAAGTGCTATGCAGCAGAAATTTACATTTGAGGCTTATTTAAGACCAAACTTGGAAAAAGAAGAAGCTCAGACCACATTTTCTACAGTCATTATCACTGAGCTCACTGAACAAGGCCCTAATTGCTAACTTAGTTAGATGTTTTTGGCAAGCCATGCCTTGGTGCCTGTTTGTGTTTGTATGCTATAACATGCAAAGATTAGGCCTTCTGAGCTTTGACCTGGAAGATTTCCCAGTCTTATATTAAGACACGAACATTATCACAGTAAAAAACCCACGAGCTTGAACATATGCCCCTATTATATTTTTCTAATTTGTAAGAAACACTGATAAGATCCTGCTCTTGCCTTGACAAACTCACAGTCCATGAATAAAACTATTGAACCCAGTAGGGAAGGTTGAGCTGTTAGGAAAGGAAGTCATGCTGCTGTTCTTGCTCAGGGCTTTTTTACACAGTTACTCATCGTTAGTGCATGGGTTGGTAGGTGACCCATTTGTGAGCTTAAGAAATAGCTTGCATGTCAGATAATAAATAGAACATTTTCTGCATGTCGGGAGGTGGAGACGGACGTCCACCAAGTATCGGTCACCTGCTCATGCAGAAAGGCTGCTGAGGTTAGGGGTGGGCAATATGATATGTTATTGTTGCTGTGACCAGTTACTTCACATTGAATGTCTTTGGGTATCAGTACCTCTAGAACACTGGATAACAGTGTGTATCATAAATAGACAGATTTCTGCTACATTAATATTATTACGGTAGATGGATACAGAAAATATCCATATCTTTCAGTGGAGCAGTGGTTGAAAATTCTCTCATCACAAGCTGTGCACTTCAGCTGTTAACGTTAATTTTTGTCAAGACTTCCCTTTACCCAAAGCTGTCAGCTGCAGCGGTGGAAAAATGTGGATGTGGATAGTTTTTCCAGAAATACGGGTGCTGAACTTCGGCAGCTGAAGTCCAAGCAAACCCTTTCAATACAACAATATGCAAACGTCACCGAAAAACACGACACAGATTACTATCACATTTGCTTGTGTTCAAAACTCTTATAGGATAAATATAGTGGCTAACACCATAAATATAGTGCCTAACACCAGGAATGCCGTGGCTAGTCCAGTAATGCTATCACAGTGGCAACGTTTTGCAGGCCACTGGCGGTCATCTACCGCTATAAGGTACTGAACGACAGCAGAAACAACAACATGTGTATATAAATCATAGTGACAAGAAAGTCAGCTACTTATATCACTACCTCGTTTACTCATTTTTTACCTTATTTTTACCAGTTGTTTGATTTTTGCTTCTGTTGAATTAAAACAAAATGGTTGTAATTACACTGTAGTTTTTCTGGTGATGCACCGAAAATTCCTATTCAAAACAGAAACCATTCCAGGTGCACCTTTTAAAAACGTTTTCTTTTTAAATGTGCCATTTTATTCTTGCTTTTGAATGTGCATGCTAAATGTAAAGGCTAAAAATAATAAGGAAAATACATATTTTTATTGACAAAATCTGCTTTATATTGGACAAAATTTAGCTGATTAAAAAATAAAAACACTTCACATAAAATAAACTTTAAATTATTTCGGTGTGTAGGCTACAGAATGTTCTGCTTCTGTTGTTTTGCTGTATTCTGCATATCGAGCAGGATGTCATGTTTTCAATTCATATCAAATGTGTAGTAGAGTGTTGTTCCCTTTCTTAATTCCCAGGATAAGCAGTGATTTCAAATGACTTGTCTAATATTCCTTGTAGAAAACATGAAAAACATGCGACTGACAATTTTTTCCACTGTTG